ACACTACTCAATTCCTGGTTTTCAACTTGGCGTCACCCGGAAAGCAAGGATTTTGGGTCTGTTCAATAGTACTTCTCAGCTTTCCAACCCTGAACTCCGTTATCCTAATTAAAGGGAACGTACGTCTCAAGAAAGCTTTCGAAAATATTTCTAAGAAGATGCATCGATGCTTGGGACTGAGATTGTTTTTTGAAACATAAATTAGGATATTTCAATTAATTGCATGATGTCGATGTCTCTCGTTTACTGTTTTATTTTTCCAATAATATTATTGGACCGATACTATTGTAATAGAGAATGTCCTAATATGGTTGCACATACAAAATAAACTAAACCTGTGATCTCTAGATCAGTGTATCCCAAACAAGTCCTCGAGACCCACCAACAGGCCAGTTTTTGTCAGTATCCCCATTGGAATAAAACAGGGAAATACATAAATACTGGATTGTTGGTGGTCATATAGTACCTGCCCAGATCCAAATATAAGGCCTCTTTACTTATTCCCATTAAAATACAAAATCCTTGTGACACTGCATGAACAAAATCTTTTGTTTGTCTTTTTTTCTGTATTATACCTAATTTTATCTATAATGTTCATTATTTCTGTCATCTTTTAAAGGTCCAACTTTATTTATTCTTGATCTTCTATTTATTTTTACATCGATTTAGTTTCACCTGGTTGGTTTTTACATGCATGCTTTTATTACAACTTCATCATCAATGTCTTTCATTCGTGTTTAATTTGTTTTATCAATACTTTGTATTTTGAACTGAATTGTAGTTGCAGTTCATCGTTCATTTATATTTTACCTTCTTTACAACTGAGTTATTTTTGAGAAAAAGAGCAACATTTATTTAAAATATTAAATGCATATTCAAATAATTTACTGTGAAGAATATTATACAAATATACTCATGAAATAAAATAAAAAACCTGTAACTAATTTTATTTATTTGCAGAGAAATAGTGGAGAAGAGAATAAAGATTATATGGAAGCCCTTGTAATTCTTCTCATACAAGAATTAGCATGAAATAATAAATATACATTCATGTCACCGCTACCTGACTTTTCATTTACCTACGCTCTGTTGTCTTCATGTTTTCCACGGGAGCTGGTGGCCATCTCACTGCATGGTGGACTTATTAACAATGAGCCTGTAATGAGTTTGGATATGCTATTGGTGAGTAGTAAATTACAGATCTCTGTATGTGCAGGGTATGAAAACATTTTAGAGTTCCAGAGTAATAAGTAGAATGTTTGAGTATTACAGAGCTCAGAGCATGTGTAGTATGCATGAGTGTATATAAGATTTTTAAAAGAATCCACAGAATGTTTGAGAAGTATTGTGCAGTGTGTATGATTGTATTACAGAGTTCCATAGTAATTATGCAGTATTACAGAGCTCCAGAACATAAGCTCAATGTAACGAGCTGTATCTCTCCGATGGTTGGCCTGTGGATCTGTCTCTGAGTAAACCAGTTGAATAATTTGAAATGTATATACTCAAGCTGCTGTCTCAGGCCAGTTTCCTCAAAGCACCCTCCCTGTACCCCATCCAGAGCCGGTGCATCCTCTAGGCTGATTAGGTGGCCGCCTAGTACGGTTCTTTAGGTGGGGGTGCCCATAAGAAGCATCCCCTTTATGTGGGACAAATTCTCTTAGGCTGGAAATCAATACAGGGTCTGGGAACCAACATGCTGCCATGGACTTGTGCACCAACAAAGACAGTTCTGCTTTCCTTTATCTCTGTAATCAGCGCTGGGAATACTCAAATGGATTAGCAATAAACATTCAAAGGTTTTAATACGTAGTACATCATATATATAAAACACAGTTTGTCTAGGGGTGTTTACATCAACGGCAACATTAACCAATCATGGGATTCTCAGAACCGAAAGTGTAATTTTTTATATAACATTTCGTAATGCTATTAGTTAGTCTCCTGTTCACTGATGAAAGTGACCGTTTTAGATTTAGGAACCCAATTAAGAATTGCAGGTGTTAGAAAGAATGCAATTTTTTTTTTTTTTTTTTAAGTGCAGGATGTTTATAAAAGATTGTGCAAGCTGGTGTCAGCTGCAAGAACACAAGAACAGAAAAATATTGTACGTTTAAAAAATGCGAGTTTAACCCTTTCAAAGCATGAGTATCTTAAATTATAATTAGACCTACTGACCATTTGGTCTTTTAAGCTATGTATACAGTATTACTTTAACTATGTAATAAGAAATACAGAAGTAGAAAGCAGGACATAAGACTGACACCCTGTAACATAAAATGTATAGCTCTGTATGTCTAGGGGAATATTCACTAAGCAATGCATAGGTAAAAAAAAAAATTCCAACACATTTTATATTGCGTGCCGCAGGTCATGGCACCGGGCACTAGGGAGCACTTACATAGCGTCAAACAAGTGCCCAGTGCCTTCAATCTCAGCACACAAAGATCAGAGAGCCGCCACCCCTACACACCTCTCATATGCCTGCAGTGCACAGGTGCATCATACAATCACTCCCGCCCCTTGTCCTGTACTCGGGTCAAGTGGGCAGGAGGATAGCGGGCGGAATTAAAAGAGAGTCAAGGCAGCCAGGCCTGGACTGGTACCCACGGAGAGACCATTTTAAATTAAGGCAAGTGGGGGACTTAATTGTGTGTGTTTGCCTGTTTCAGTCAGTATGTTTGTGTGGTGCTTGGGTCAGTGTGCGTGTGTGTCTGATTGGGTCAGTGTGTGTGTCTCTGGATCAGTGTGTGTGTCTGCTTGGGTCAGTGTTGCTTGTGTGTCTGAATCAGTATGTTATGTGTGTGTCTGTTTGGGTCTGTGTGTGTGCTTGGGTCAGTGTGTGTGTGTGCGTGTGTGTGTGTGTGTGTGGGCTTGGGTCTGTGTGTATGTCTGTTTGGGTCAGTGTGTGTGCATGTGTCTACTTGAGTCAGTGTTGCTTGGGTGTCTGGATCAGTATTTTATGTGTGTGTGTGTGTTTGGGTCAGTGTGTGTGTGCTTGGGTCAGTGCATGTGTGTGTGTGTCTGCTTGCATCAGTGTTACTTGTGTGTCTGGATCGGTATTTAATGTGTGTGTGTCTGCCTGGCTCAGTTTATGTGCTTGGGTCTGCGTGTGTGTCTGCTTGGGTTAGTGTGTGTGTCTGGATCAGTGTGTGATTGTGTGGACCATTGAGTGTGAGTGAGTGTATGAGTGTGTATGTGTATATGTAGGTGGTATCAGTGATTGTATTTGAACAAAAAGGACCATTTTAATTTAAAAAAAATACTACAGTGTTAGCAATATAAACATGTATTTGTACACTACAGTGTCTCTTTCCTACATAGATTCAAGCCTCACCACCATTTAGGACCCATCTAGGGGGGTCTGCCCTGATGTTGGCAGGCGGGCATTCCCTCCAGTGGCCATTGGAGTTACTAAATGACCTCCGTTTGTTTAAATATACATAGGGATTAAGGAAAGAGCGCAGGTAACTTTTTTCTTTGGTTTTTACTATATGTATGGGAGCTGATGTGTACTGTGGTCGTTGCTGCCACCCAGGAGTGATGGGAGTGAGCACAGGACTTATCTTTCTGTATTTGTATTCACTTTTTGTATTACACAGCTAGGTTACAATGCTGCCGCCCATCCCATGTGTTCCTTATTAAGGGTTAATAAGTATATAGGGGTGTAAATAAAAAATACCCCTTTCTGTCTCATTAGAGATATCTTTGCCAAAAGCTCAAGGAAGCAAGGTGAAGGGTCAGAGTAGGACCCGTGTAGGGGGGTCTGCCTTGACGTTGGCAGGCGGGCATTCCCTCCAGTGGCCATTGGAGTTACTAAATGACCTCCGTTTGTTTAAATATACATAGGGATTAAGGAAAGAGCGCAGATAACTTTTTTTCTTTGTTTTTTTTACTATATGTATGGGAGCTGATGTGTACTGTGGCTGTTGCTGCCGCCCAGGAGTGATGGGAGTGAGCACAGGACTTTTCTTTTTGTATTTGTATTTACTTTTTGTATCACACAGCTAGGTTACAATGCTGCTGCCCATCCCATAGTTACATAGTTACATAGTTACATAGCTGAAAAGAGACTTGCGTCCATCAAGTTCAGCCTACCTCACATTTGTTTTTTGCTGTTGATCCAAAAGAAGGCAAAAAAAAACAGTTTGAAGCACAATTTTGCAACAAGCTAGGAAAAAAATTCCTTCTTGACCCCAGAATGGCAGTCAGATTTATCCTTGGATCAAGCAGTTATTACCCTACATTGAAAGATTATATCCTTGAATATTCTGTTCTTGCAAGTATGCATCTAGTAGCCGTTTGAACATCTGTATGGACTCTGATAAAACCACTTCTTCAGGCAGAGAATTCCCATGTGTTCCCTATTAAGGGTTAATAAGTATATAGAGGTGTATATAAAAAATACCCCTTTCTGTCTTATTAGAGATATCTTTGCCAAAAGCTCAAGGAAGCAAGGTGAAGGGTCAGAGTAGGACCCGTGTAGGGGGGTCTGCCTTGACGTTGGCAGGTGGGCATTCCCTCCAGTGGCCATTGCAGTAACCAAATGACCTCCATTTGTTTAAATATACATAGGGATTAAGGAAAGAGCGCAGGTAACTTTTTTTCTTTGGTTTTTACTATATGAAATAAGGGGAGCATTGCCAACCCACTATCTCTTCATGCACAGTTTTGGCTCCCACTGCAGAAGAATAGGCTGGTCCATGAAGTAATCAGCGAGCAGTTGTGCTTTTAATTAATGAACAAATTTTATTGAACAAAAAAATGTTTAGCAAAATCCTGACTTACTGAACACAATCTAGTTTGTTTTCAGTACAAACTATGCATATGTATATTCAGTAATTGGTCGATTGGCTTCGAGGGATACCCCCCCGTCACCCCCTGTATGATCAATGAAATATAATAAGTGCAATCAAACGTGTGTGAGTGATCAGCTAGGGCATTGCAAGTTAATAGACAGTGGGCATTTTGCCTGGCATTAAGTCCCAGTCCTGTTTGGATCAGCCGATGCCTTGCTGGGGCTGGGTGAGTTCCCTCTGCGCTGTTCGTTGTGGCGGTGGTTCGCTCTTCGCTCCCCATGGTCCAGTAGTGTGGGAGAGAGGTGTCTCAGTGCGAGTAGGTGGCCCTCTTGGTAGGTAGAGTATAGTCCCGGTTGTGGGTCCCACCTTTTGGTGTGTTCGTTGGCTGTAGCTGTAATTGTGGAGGTCATCTGCTGCTCCTGCCATTTTAGGCATCGTGGTGCGCCTCTTTCTTGTGCAGTTAAGTTGGACATTGCCCCTTGTAGTCTGGGTCGCTGCTGGTTGTCGAGGCAGTTTTTGGCGCTGCGTTGTAGGAGTCCCTTTGGCTTGCATTGCTGTTGTCTGGCTGCGTCTGCCCTTAGGGTGACTTCGGGCACTTGTTGTTGGCTTGGCCCTTCTCAAGTGCTTGCTTAGCCCGGGGAGTGAGTCCGATGAGTGTGCCTTGTCCCTCTCGTGGGCTTTCTGTGATGTGCCTTGTAGTGTGCCATCGGCCTTTTCACTGATTCTGGGGGCCACATGTGCATCTCCAGCTTCTCCCAGAAGGAACAGAATAAGTTGTTAAGTCGGAGCTCTGTGTCTCTCCAGGTTTTGCATAGAGCTGCGTCGTGTGTGTCGTCCGCCATTTTGTAGGCCCCACTAGTGACCTTCAGTCTGCCTGTTCGGTTCGTCAGATTGCATCTTGTCAGGGGGATCGTGTGGGGGTGACCCGGGCTAACCCCCACTGATCCAGAGGGGGGGGGGGAACGAGAGCTCTGTGGCAAAGTTCCAGTCATTCTTGGCGGCAGGAGAGCGGCCTTCTCTGCCGCGCCCGCCATGCTGGGAGGCCTCGCTAGGGTTTTGGGTGAGTACCGGAGCACTAGTTGCTTGGAGGGTACCTTTGTGTGAGTCCCGATTTTCCCTTTAGCCTGGTGACCTTTATATGCCATTTGGTGGCCGTTTTAGTCACGTAATCTTGCTTTTTCTGTCGCCGTTGGCCGGAGCTGTTGAGACTATCGTCCTCTCGGCTCCACGGTCAGGCCCTGCCCCCAGTTTTTTGTTTTTTTTAATAACTTTATCAGACAGAATCATTTTTAAGCCTTTCAAAAGACTAGTTATATTTCTAAGCTTCATTTTTGTGAAGCAATGAGGATACATATAAAGAATAAAATTATATAATCTATATAAAGAAGTACAATTAAGTTGTTGGTGTTATATACAAAATAAATATTTAAAAAAAAATCTAAATATATATGTTCAGACCCTTAATTATTGCACGCTTAGTGCTCCAAGCGACTCTTTTGTGATTTCCTGTTATTGATCTGGGCTTTATTTTGACTTTAAGAACTTCTGGTATCGTAACCTGGCTTAGATATTGACCAGTGTATTTTTATTATCCTGACCCGACTTTTTTTTCATGTTTCCATATTTCTGTATTCCTGACCTTTGGCTATTCCTTACTTTGATTTCATCTTTTAATACGTTCTAAATCTCAAAAAGGTCATGCAGTCAGCTCACTACTGGACTAGTCTTTCTGACACAGCTATGAATTCTTGCATTACAGTGACCTCTGGTGGGATCTTTTAGTGTTTATAGTAGTAGCGATCTACTGAGGAATAGAAACCACATAATAACAAAAGTAAAAAAGATAATGTATTTATAAATGAACTAAAATAAAATAAATGTTAAGCAAGCACTGTTTCTCCTTTTCAGCCCAGAAATCGATCCTAGAATTAGAGCAGTTCTGTCACTTTGCAGGTCTTTCTTTTAAATGAATTCTTCTTGGTTCCTGCAGTTCTCTTTATTTTTATATATTGGAAATACCCTTTAGTTTTTAGTTACACAAAGCAGGGATTACTTTTTCCCAGGGTGAGCATGATCTTTGGTCATTTTTGGCAATGGAAAGAGCTTGAGCAAAGTTTGATTTCATTTGTTAATAGGCTTATGTGTCAAACCTGCTTCCCTAATGTGGTCTAATACCACCACTACGTGGGTCAGTTGTTCTTGCCAGGTGTTGCTGTAAATGGCAATATCGTCCAGGTATGTATACGCATAATCCTGGAACCCGTCCAATAGACGATCTACCATCCTTTGAAAGGTAGGGTTTTTCATCCCGAAAGGCATAACCTGAAACTGGTACAGGCCGAATAGGGTGACAAACGCCGACTTAGGACTTAGGTATTACATCCTCGGCTAGGGGAATCTGCCAGTACCACATACAAAGATTGATTGTAGTGAGGTATTGGCCCCAACCCATTTAACCTAGGAGCTCGTCTATCCTGGGCATAGGATAGGCATCTGACACGGTTTTGTCATTCAACCTCCGGTAGTCTACACAGAAGCGGGTCATGCCGTCCTGTTTTAGTCAGGGCCGTCTTTAACGCGGGGCAAACAGGGCAGCTGCCCCGGGCCCAGTTTCTCTTGGGGGGCCCGAGGCACCTGCCCCGTGGGCCCCGCTGACCCCGGCGGGTGGCCGGTCGGGCAGGAAGGCGGGCGCGCGAGGGAGCACTCACTGCTTCCTCTTCAGCTCCCTCGCGCACCGCACTGATGCCGGAGCCGGAAGATGACGTCATCTTCCGGCGCCGGCATCCCTACGCGGCGCGCGAGGGAGCTGAAGAGGAAGCACCGAGTGCTCCCTCGCACGCCCGCCTTCCTGCCCGACCGGCCACCCGCCCAGGAGCCCAGCAGCACCACTGGACCCCAGGAAATCCCACCAGCACTCCAAAAGGTAAGGAGGCTGGGGGGATTACATTAAAAAAATAATGTGTGCTTGTGTGTATGTCTGTGTTAGTGTATGTCTGTGTTAGTGTATGTCTGTTAGTGTATGTGTGTGTGTGTCAGCATGTCTGTGTGTGTGTCAGTATGTCTGTCTGTGTGTCAGTATATATGTGTGTGTATATCTGTGTGTCAGTATGTGTATGTGTCAGTATGTCTGTCTGTCTGTGTGTCAGTATATATGTGTGTATATCTGTGTGTCAGTATGTGTATGTGTCAGTATGTCTGTCAGTGCGTCAGTATGTCTGTTAGTGCATGTGTATGCATGTGTCAGTATATCTGTCTGTGTGCCAGTATGTCTGTGTGTGTGTGTGTCAGTATATCAGTCTGTGTGTGTCAGTGTATGTGCCTGTGTGTGTGTGTCAGTATTTCTCAGTGTATGTGGGTGTCAGTATATCTGTCAGTGTGTGGGTGTCAGTATTTCTGTCAGTGTATGTGTGTCAGTATGTTGATCAGTGTATGTGTCTGTGTGTGTGTGTCAGTATGTCGGTATATGTCTGTATATGTGCCTGTGTCAGTATGTCTGTCAGTACGTCTACCAGTGTATGTGTCTGTGTGTGTGTCAATATATGTACCTGTGTCAGTGTGTCTGTCAGTGTATGTGCCTGTTTATCTGTATGTAGTCAGTGTATGTATCTGTGTATCTGCTTGTGCGTCAGAGTGTGTACCTGTGCATCTGAGCCGCAACTTTAAATACAAATACACCCCTCCATTCAAACTTCAACACTACATATAAAACACACTCCTGCATTGAAACGTCAACACTACATACAAGCACACTCCTACATTCAAAAACAAACACTACACATAAATGCACACTTGCACATACAAACACATTCACACAAACATACTCCATACAAACACATGCTTACATTCAAACATACTAACATGGCTCAGTGCTAAATACAACCCTGCAAGCATGGGAAATTGGTAGAGTCCCAGCTGTCAAAGCATTGTTGGAGTTGCACGACAGATGGGGTTCTACCTTTAGTCCAACCTTGCAATTGGGGGTCCCAATAAAATTCATTCTACTTTAGTACCGCCACTGCGTTGGGATGGATGCCGTGATTGCATACCAGGGAGTGAGGGGCGAGAGCGGCAGGGCACAGGGGGCCCAAGCAAACACTTGCCCAGGGTCCATTCGTTATTAAAGACGGCCCTGGTTTTAGTACTAGTACTACTGGGGAGGCTGAGGGTTTGTCAGGTGGCTCAATGATGCCCAGTTGGAGCATTTCCTGGATCTCCTTCCTCATGTTCTCCTTAACTGACTCAGGTATTCAATAAGAGAGCTAGCGTAGCGGTAACTGTCCTGGAATTTCTACTCAATGGGTGGCCAGAGGAGTGAACCCTGGCAGGTTAGAGAGGGTGGCCCACTTGGCCGTGATCAATTGCTTTACTTGGGTACGCTCCTGAGGACTCAACCAATCTCCTAACTCTACCTTGTCTAGGGTCCCTGTCTGATCTCCATCCCCTAGGAGGTCAGGTAGGAGAAGGTTCTCAAAATCTTCGGAGGCTGGGGCGCAGATCACCGCCACATCCTCCACTCTCTCATGATAGGATTTGAGCATGTTTACATGGAACATGCGTCTCCCCCATGTACCAGAGCAAGGGCCAATCATATAGGTGGTGTCACATTTCTGTTCAACCACCCTGTATGGGCCCTGCCTGCCTGCAACTTGTCATTGCAGACCGGCTTTGAAATCAACACCTTTTGTCCGACTTGAAAGCTGTGATCCCTGGCTCCCCTATCGTACCAAGTGTGTTGGCGTTTCTGAGCTGCATGGAGGTTATTCCTCACTGCTTGTGTTAACTCCACCAGGCGGTCTCTAAACTCCAACACATAAGGGACGATGGGAGTACTGTCTGTGCTGATATCCCCCTACCTGTGTTTTCTAATCAGATCTAGCGGTCCTCTCACCCTCCTCCCAAACAGCAGTTCAAATGGGGAGAAACCGGTGGATTCCTGGGGCACCTCCCGGTACGCAAATAGGAGGTGCACCAAGAATCTCTCCCAGTTCCTGCTAGTTGCCACAAACTCCATTAAACCATTCACATAGGCCATTGGACTGTCGGTGTAATGGGGAGTTCATGATTGGCTTAATGCCGCATAGCCTCCAGAGTTGGTGGGTGACTTCTGCGATAAATTGGGTGCCCTGACCCGAAATAATCTCTCAGGGGAAAACACATTCGAGAGAAAATCTGCATCATAGCGTCCGCGATCGTCTCGGCATGGATATTAGTCAACGCCTCCGCCTCTGGGTATCTAGTGGCATAGTCCACTACCGTAAAGATATATTTCTTGCCAGAGGGACAGGGCTTTGCTAAGGGACCCATAAGATCCACAGCCACCCTGCTAAAGTGTTCTTCAACAATGGGGAGAGGATGAAGCTTTGCCTTGTGGCGGTCTCCCCTCTTTCCTAGTCTCTGGCACGTGTCACAAGTCTGGCAATATTCGCGGATATCTTTTGAAATTCCTGACCAGAAAAAGTTTTGCGTCAGCCGGTATTTGGTTCTGCTAATGTCTAGGGGTCAGGATAGCAGACTATCATGAGCTATCCAGAGTAGCTCATGCCTATACTTTT